GGTACTTGCAGGGAACACGAGATCATGGGCTATGGCTTCAGCCCTGTTCATTATTCTCACATTACCAACCTGCACCAACCGCTCACTAATTACTAGTATTACATTACATATATATACACCATATTCACACTTCCAATTTCAACTTTACTAACACTACTCACTCACAACTGTAATCATTAATCTATTCACTTGGTTATTAGTAAAAGCGATTCAAAAGTCATACTTTAAAATATACTTCGAGAAGAGTACGTCGAATGTAATAAAAGAAGAGTACGTCGAATGTTGCAATTACTAAAGAAGAGACTAAGTATGCATTAGGGCCCCAACTGGGGAGGCTTGTTCACATCATTATTATTACTACTCCTCCCTCCCACTTTGTAAGATACATTTTCCTTTTTGACTTGTCTAAAAAATATGATCACTTTCTTTAAATTGCACTTTTCACTCGCTCTTTATCCCCTCATCTATCCTTTCACTCGCATGTCCTTTTTGTACTTTTCAATTACTTCTTACTTTTGGAAAGTTGGAATCGTAAACAACCACTTTATCCATTATTTTCGTAAGACCCGCAAAAAATCCACAAGTATCAGAGTGAGGTAGTAATATATATATATACCTTGGCTGCTCTGGTTCGGGTTCTAGACCAGTGAGAAGTTGGGGACTCGTGTTTGTGGAGATGGAAAAAGGAGATGGAGCTATGCTTCGGCTCTGCAAAGTCCAATAGCACCTTCCACCACCTATGCTCTATCACCATCACCTTTCTCCTCGCCCGAAAGCTATTCTTCTTGTTATACACTACTAACTTTTCCCTACCTCCTGTCATACCTTGCTTACTCCCTATGATCGAGAACCAAGATTGCTAAAACTAACAACTAAAAATAAAATAATCTCTAGTTTCATTATGTATGTGTGTGAAAATTTGAAAATTACATAACTACGACTAATGACATGACAAAAGTGCAACAGGGTACTTCAATGTTCCGTATGTGTAAAAACAAAAGTGAGTGTAACTCCTATAAAAGGGCTTATTTGCACTTTTTATGAAAGTTCGAGGGTTTATTTGACAGTTCTGCCTAAAAACAAACAAACAAACACACGCTTTTACCGCGCACTTTATCCTCACTTGTGCGCACCCTGATAAACTTTCTAGAGGGTCACCCATCCCAAGGACTACTCTCGTGCAAGCACGCTTAACTTGGAGTTGTTAGCTGATGAACTTCCTTAAAATGAGATGCATATTGCACCATAAATTAATTTCAATCAAACTCAATAATCCTCTCCTACTAAGTGCTTGCCCGATATTCAACATATCAGTACAATGTCGCATGGTTGCTTTGATACTACTTGTAATATCCCGCCCATAGGGCCCGAAGTAATTACTTCTAAATACTCTCTAGACCTCTAGTATTGTCCTCACAAATCAACACAAGTCTTTACCACACATTTTGTTCTCACTCGTGCACGCCCTGAGAAACTTCCCAAAGAGGCCACTCATCCTAAGACTACTCTCGTGCAAGCATACTTAACTTGAAGTTTTTAGCTAATGAACTCTTTTAAAAGGAGATGCACTTTATTGATATGAGTAGTACTGTTAATTAATTTAAATTAATCACAAGTATTACAAAAACTCCTAGGAATCCAAATTTCGTATCAAACATTGAGCCAGTACATAGAGAGAGTATTATTAAAAGAGTATAGCAGAGAGATTTTTTAAAATAAAGAACTTAACGACTCAGCGGTCGCTGTCTGATCCGGACGATGACCCGGGGGTTCATTCCCGTTTTTCGAAAGAACCGTTGGGTTGCCACTCAATAGGGAAAAGGGAAATGAATTAGTCAAACTAGCCATTGGGACCGACAGGGACCGGCCAGTTTCACTCCCAAGTTTCCTATACTCGAGACTGGGTACCCTACTTGGGTTGTATTGGGTTCGGTTCCGGACAGAGACCGTACTTTCAGTATTTTCGGCCGGTCAGAGAACTGGGTGAAAAATGTGTTGAACATATTTTCATATTTGAAAATGAAAAACTGGAAAACCAAAAACATATAATTGGAGATATAAAACTAGAAAATTAAAACAGAAAATTGGAGAATGGAATACAGAAAAGAAAAATGAAAAATGTCTCTGTTAGTAAACGGGTCCGAACTCCCTCTCTTCCTTATTTACTTTTTTAAATATATTAACTCTATTTTCTTTTCAATGATTTACAAAATATAACTTTATGAAACTTTAATGCTCCGTTAAAAAAAAACTTTAATGCTATTATTAAAATAAATAAAAAATATGATATCATTTTACTCAGTTCGTCTTACAAAATAGTTCTCACTTTCCTTTTTGAACTATCACAAAAATGGTTTGCGTTTTTTTAGAAAGTTTTGTGTGACCACCTATATTTACTTTTTACTCAATAACAATTATACATTTACACTTTATTTATATTTTTTTAGACTTCGATTCAAGTGAATGTGAGAACTATTTAATAGGGATAAAGTGGCTCGTGTTAGAATGTAGTGATACAAAACCAAAAATAAAGTGAGTTTGAGATGGTGGGGTGAAAAAAAAAGAATGTGCGTCTAAAAGCAAAGTTTTGACGAAAGCGTGACAACCAATCATTCCAGCTCACTGGATGGGAGGTTCGAAGGGAGCGGATGGAAATTCAGTTCGCGAGTTCGCGTGGTGAGATGACCCTTGGAGTATAGTCAATAAATTCCAGGATTAGGGGAACGCAAACACCCACAGCTGCGCTATCAAAAAATTGAGGAAAGCCTGACACGAAGTGTCACTCCCCTTTTTGTCTTGCCGTCCACCCCTTCGGTCTGCACCCACCACGGAAGCACATCCATTTTCCCTCTGACTTTCTCTGTGCGTCTCGTCTCTCTATATCTATATCAAAAATGCTATTGTTACACACTTTCCATACACACACATACACACTATAAATACCCACAAAAATAATTTACCTCCCTTTCCCTCACCTCTCGCCACTTCAAAAAAACACTCTCGCTCCCAATTTTGTCGCGCATCCCCAACTTCTCCCTTCCTTCGAACCGCCACAACCTTCTCCTTCTCCCTTGCGTTGTTCTTTCGATTAATCCCATCGCTGGAAGCTCTTCATCGCCGCCAACCCCCGAATAGCCTCCTCCTCTGCAACCCCCCATCGAAGGCCTCATCCCCGACAACCCCAGTTGAAGACTAGCCTCCTCCCCTGCAACCCCCCATCGAAGGCAACCCTCAATGACTCAACCCCGCCACACCCCGTCGAAGGCAACCCTCCTCCCTGCCAACCCCCGTCGAAGGCGACCGTCGTCGCTGCGCATTCAAAGGTGCGAACCCTCCTCCCCGTCTCAGTCGAAAATGGTGTGAACCCCTCTTTCGAGCATGGCCGAAAGGTATGTGTCATGTATTTTTGGAATTTTTTCAGTTTTAGGGTAGTTGGTGATGTTTATTTGGAGGGTGAGTAATTGTTTATCAAGTTATCAAGTTTATTGGAACCCATCTATTGCTTGGATTTTGAACAATATGTATTGTCTGTGTAAGGTTGATTTTATGCCTGTTGAAGGACATATGTATTGTCTGTGTAAAGTTAGATTTGTCCAAGTGTTTGTCTGTGTGAGGTTATATGTAATTGGCTCTGGCTCCATTTGTCTGTGAAGACTTATATGATTGTTTGTATCACTCTACATATGTCTGTGTGACTAATATGATGTTTGTACTTCTACACAACGCTATAAGACTCAAACAGGTTCAAATGAACAAATGTCTAGGACTTTTGGAAATTACTTAAAATACCTTGGTTAATTTGGACCTCGGGTACCTTAAAATAATACGGATTGTTGAAAGAAAATTTTAAAAATGAATTCACTAATTAAAATATAATTAGAACACATTGTGTATCACACTTCCACTTTTGTTTCGGGTCATCAAATAGACCCCGTTGCACAAATACAATTTGTATGTGCATAGAAATGTAATGTCTATATGAATTGTATTATTTTCAGATCCGATGTTTGCGGAGTTATGGCGGCAACATTTGCGGAGTCACTGTTGCAAAAGTTGCCCTTGATGCCCGAGTGTGCGTATGAGAACATGGCAGCGAAAAGATGTGAATTTGCAAAGAGGCTCTGGAGTTTGAGGAAGCGATCAACTTAGACAAGTTTTAATGGGTGTGAATGTTTAGTGTATGATGGGTTTGGATGTACAATCATTGATGTAACCTTACTATATACATTTTGTGGTGGTTAGTTTTGGCCTTCATGGGTTTGGTTGTTAAATGTAGGATGTTGTACAATGTTACAATAACAATGTTGTATATTGTCCTAGAATGTACTCCCAAATATTACCAATGTTGTACATTGGTATGCCTTTTTATTTGTGTGAGAAACACTAACTGTCATTGGTGTTCATATAAACGGAGAAAGCTTTTTTGTTTGTGATTTGTATCCACTTTGTCTGTGCTATGTACACTATAATATCTGTCACAAACACATTGCGTGTTTGTGAAGCAGAAAAACTCTGTATGTGAGGTGTGGCGTATTTGTCTGTGCTATGTACACTATAATATCTGTCACAAGCACATTGTGTGTCTGTGAAGAACAAACACTCTGTCTGTGATGTGTGGTGTATATGTCTGTGCTATGTATCTGCTATTGTATAGTATTGAGGAAAAAAAAAATTTTAAAAACAGCGTAGTCAAAACATCGTCTATATCTCTGTTATATTGTTTGTGCATTCGTTTATTTTATTTGTGCGTAGATAATAATTGTTTGTGTTCATTTATTTTGTTTGTACTTAGTCAAAGCATCATCCATGTCTTCATTTATATTATCTGCGCGTGATTAAAGCATTACTTGTGTTTTCATAATGTCATAAAAGAGAAACAAACATAAGAAATCGTATTAACTTTCATAATTCCCATCCATGGAGGAACTAAAGTAATACATGGATATTTATAATTCAAATATATTCATTCAACATAATAACAAGCTATGGTTTTTTTCTTCCGCTTTTTTGCGGCCAAGAGCTCCTTTTCTAGCATTTTTTTTCACTCCCAAAATGTACATTTTTCTCCTGCTGGGTGTTTTCTTTCCTACTGCCGCAAGCAAGAAGTGCCCTGCAGCCAAGAGCTCTGCCTTCCCATCCTGCAAGACTGCTAACTGCACTTTTTGCACACAACCCTGCTGCTTATTGCACACACATCATTTTAAACATGAAAAAAGAACAGTGTGATACAAAGATTGAAACTTAAGCATTAACTCATCAAAGCAAATATATGATGATTCCATAGAGAGTAAAGTCATGCGGATGACAAAGATAAAAACATGGCAGAATTTGACCACACTCAGTATCTTGATCCATGCTTCTAAGAAACCTATCAAGACCATTTAAATTCATTGACAACCCAATTTAAAGTGTAAAAATTAGTAAACTCCATCAAGCATAAAAACATATTAGCAAAAAGGGAGAATGAACTCACAAAATCGTGAATATGAATAAAGAAGATCATTGAAGTATTTCAACAAACACCTTATGAGCATAATAATGAAATAAAATAGTTGAGGAAAAATTCAACTGAAATGTGAATCTTTACAATGTGAAACAAACTTAGAACACAATAAAAATTATAATGAAGTGAATCTCTATTTACGCATTTCGCATAAACCATAAGTAAATTTACGCATTTCAAACATAAGTACATTTACGCTGAGGCAGTGGTAGATTTACGCACAGACATAAGTACATAAACCCACAGACACAAGTATATTTACACACAGACATTTCAAATATAAGTTTATTTACACACAGACATAAGTAAATTTATAACATTTTGAACACAAACAAGATTATATACACTTCACAAACACACAGACGATATTATACACTACACAAATACAGAGAATTGTCTGTGGAGAACAAAGATATATTTAAGTTGAAAGCCAATGAAATCAACAACACAAACTCATACCAAGCTTAGGGACTTCGTCCATGGCTGCTGCCGCCGCCGGTTCTCCGTCAAGTTCAGCCGCCGCCGTCGGTTCTCCGTCAAGCTCAGCCACCGCCGCCGGTTCTCCGTCAAGTTCAGCCGCCGCCACCAGTTCTCCATCAAGTTCAGCCACCACAGGAATATCTCCTTCAGCTCGAGAACCACCTGTTGTTTCAGCCCATTGATTTTGAAGACAAGAAGAAAGAAAGAAAGTTGGGGGTTGTAGTTGGGGGTTGTATGCGTTGAGCTGCGTTGAGCTGCTGTGGAAAGAAGAAAAAGAGAAGGAAGCTAGCGGGAAGAGAGGGGAGAGTCTTGGGGCTGAGTGGGCTATTTCACACGTGAGGGAGGGGAGGGGGTAAAAAAATGGTACTACCTCCGTCCCATAATTTACTTCCAAAATAAAGTGGCACACGGATTAAGAAAGTGGGAATTGTGTGGTGGAGAGTTGTGCAGAGGAGAGAGAAATGCTGTGAACCACAAATTCTTTACCAAAAAAGGAAAGAGAAGTTCTTTTTGGGACGGGCGAAAAGGGAAAGTTGGAAGTATTTTTCAGGGGGGGGAGGGAGTAATTTTTAGGTTATTTACAGTGTGTATGTGTGTGTATGAAAAATGTCTACCCAAAGCAAAATTGATATCTATATCAAAAAATCCTTTTGTACACTTTCTTATACACATCAGTACACCCCCGTGTCTGTGAGAGTTTTTTTTTGTCTGTGAATCCCAGTCCACAGACAAAAACTGACTTGTTTTGTCTGTGAAAAAATCTACAGACAAAACAAGCATGTTTTTGTCGGTCGACTGGTATTCACAGACAAAAAAAAACTCTCACAGACACGGGGTGTACTAATGTGTATAAGAAGGTGTACACCAACAATTGTTGTATCTATATATATACATTTCATATATACATCTCCCTATCTTTATCCACCACGCATACCCAAAAAGTGCACCTTCAAGGTACCAACACAGAGAGTAGCTGCCTGCTAGTGCTTGCATTCATTTCATTCAATTGGTTGGTTCCCAAGGCATTCTTCGATCACCAAGGTAAATTATTGCTCATCCATCACTTTTGCTTCCATTTCTTTTTTTTTACAAATTGCTTAAATGTGGACCAAAGATTACTATATACTTCTACACGCGAATCAAAAGTTACGTGTTTAGTAAAAAAGTGATAGCACTGATAAATCCAAAATGGAGTTTGTCAAAAAAGTTACGTGTAAAAAATAATAAGATGTTTTCCTTCACCATTATGTGCCTATTTGATGATTTTCTTCCATCTTTCTTCATTTTTTAGTTATTTTTTGAATAATTTGTGCATACACGACTACACGTGATTTGAAAATAATGTCATTTTTCAATACTTTATCAAGATGATGATATTACTCTTATAAAGCCATGTTTTCAATCTGAAAATGCCATTTGGACGAATAATGCTATTTTTATGCTCTAATTTTGAATATGAAAGCTGCATGGCTACTAGTTTTCTTTTTCCAAGTAAGTACCCTTGATTTGGAGTATCACCCATTGAGGATAAGATATGAGAGTCGATTTGAGGTGGTTTAATCATGTGCATAGAAGATCGGATGATGCACATATTACACGAGTAGAGAGATATGGAGAAGAGGCGGGAAGGAGAGAAATATGAAGACACAAACATATATGGATTAGAGGAGTCAAGAGTGATATGCATTTTCTTGGATTGGAAGAGGGTATGACTTTGGAGAGAGTTAAATTGAGGGCGAATATTTGTGTTGCAGACTGATCTCTTATCATCTTTCTTCCCTTTATCTTCTTTTTGTTTTTTATGTTTTTATCCTTTGATCTTTTTATTATATATATTGTCATTTTATATACTCCATCCGTTCTCCAATACATGTCCCTCTTTCAATTTTGTGATGTTCTCTAAAATTTGTCTCCCTTTCCATTTCTAGAATTTGTTTTTCAATAAATATACCTATATACCCTCATTCTCTTTCTTACCTTTTCTGTTTTTCATTCAAACACAACTCACTACACCTTTTACACTACCTCTATTATTTTCCTCTTAAAACTTGTGCCAAACCCTATAAAGCCATCTATTGGAAAACGGAGGGAGTAAATCTTATATATATATATATATATATGGGATGGTTCCAGTGAAAATGGTGTCTTAGGAGAGAAATGATAATGAAATATAACCATTGATGATGATTGATCAAACAGACACAAAAAAAGATGATCGTAATTTATTAGTCCAACTATCGGCTAATTTAAGTGGATTCAAAAGGGAAAGTCTAATATTAATTGACATCAAGGGTAAGGATGTCTAATCAAAATCAAAACCATTTTCCACGTTAGATTATATGGAGCTCTTTCCTATTAATTTGCAAATTAATTACCATGTAATGATTATGACTATTTATTGCTTTAAAAAGTGTTTCAACTATTTTTAAACTTAGTAGTCCACGTATCTCACCATTAAATGCTCTTCATATTTGATTTTTAAATTACAAATTTTCAGAAATTAATATTAGCAAAATTTCAGTCAAAATAAGTAAAAAGGGTTGAGTTCAAATGAGAAGACATCTTAACGTCTAAAATAAGAATTAATCTCAATCGTCTAAATTGTTAATTCGATGCACAATAACCCTTATGTAATGCACATTGGAATAATTTTTTTTTATGAACTTTTCGAAAAGTGCATCAAATTGGGCTTATTTGAAAAATGCATCAGATAAAGTTTATTGTGCATCAAATTGACTTTTTGGACGACTGAAATTAATTCTTATTTTAGATGTTAAGAACTTTTTCTTATCCAAATTCTAGGTAAAAATAGCATGTTTAGAAAAGTGCATGCACATAAAGTAATGATCATAATATAAGTATTGTGTAGTCATAGTTGGAATGTGCAGAAAAAACTAAGTGCATTTCAAAGTTTCAGAACATGCACTTATCCGTGAAGCATTTTGCACTTTAAATATCTTTTGCATTTAATGAAAGGTTTAGTTTGCACTTTTAATAAAATTAACATGCACTATAACCATGCAATTGTGCACATCTATACGCGTTTTAAATAAAAATTAATATAAATATATAAGAATGTTGACTCAATTATCACGTTAGTTTTAATTAAATATTTGAAGAATTTTGCACTATTAGTGGTTTACCTTACCGAGTCCATTCTTCAATTTAACGAATATAAAATTAATAAAATGTTAATTAAGTTATTTTGCACAGTTGTAATTTGCATTCCTATATGATTTCCTTACATTTTCTATAACATTTGCAATTTATCAATGTACTCGTGCTCTTCCAAACATATTTTAAATAAAAACGACTTTAATTAAAATGAAAATGAAAAAATATGCAAGGGTGGAAAACAAACAACTATCATGTGCATTTTTAATGTAAACAAAAGTGAACTATTATATCACACTTTCTAAAGTTTTACATACGCCCTTTTCTTATAAAATCAAATGCACTTTTATAATATGCATTCGAAATACATACTAAAGTGCACTATTATATACCACTTTCTACATTTTTACATTGATAACTTTTTTAGAATCCAATGCACTTTTTCTTCCAAAAGGTCATCATTGTTTCATTGACAACATCGTATCTGCAAAAAAAAGTAAAAAATATGAAGTGCATGACCAAGGTATGGTAAGTGCAAAATAAGCATATATAGTTGCATCAAATAATATAATTAAGAATAAGGTTCAGTTACTCAATGCAGAAAAGTAGTCATTAAAAAGTGCAGCAAATACCAAACACACTACATGAGAATATACGTACGAGTGCATTAGTATGTCATTGAAGTAATAACCACTTAGAGGTAAAAATACAAACATATCCCCAAATACAAATGTATATAACGTAACAAGAAAATATAAAAAGCAAATCTAAAAACAAAATTGTTTATGATCATCTACGTTAGTGCAATTGTATGTGATCGATTTAAGTTACATCATGACATTGAATGAAATAAAATTATAATGTACACAAAAGGAGCATAACACGTACATTCAAGACTTAAAAAACCGAAAAATGTTGTTTACATGGTTATAGTTGTAGGATAAAGAGACATAAAATAAGCATACACTACAGCTCACTTGAAATATAATCAATAAGATTTTGCCAATTAAAAGCATAGAATAACAAAACAAAAATTTTGAATTAGAAATAAACAAATATATAATTATAAATGACAGAAGTAGTTCAATTCAGAAACATAAGCACGTCCGTCGTCTAACTATAATCCATAGAGAAGAGATGATATTGGACTAAGATTTTTCTTGTCTGAAATCTAATAAAAGACGTGGTGAAAGAATGGTGAAGAAATGAAAGTGTTTTGGCTTTTGTAATGGTGAAAAAGAAAAGGAACATGATGGAGAAAAAGAAAATGTCGAAGAACAAAAATCGTGGGGAATGGAAACGGTTAAGGAGATACAAGGAAGGAGAGAAAATCATGATGTGCTAAAAGTAAGGAAAGTGGTTAATTTAGGATACTACGTAGAATGAAAATAGTTTTGAAATGACATGTTTAGCCTTATATGAAATAAATAAATAATTTGTTTAATATTGCAATCCAATGGCTTAGAATCATTCTTATTTCTCTCCCTAGATCTTATTCTCACATGATCCCTATTCTATATATATATATATATAATTTTATCATTTTTATGTATACCTTATACCTATTTTATATTATCTTTTTTTAATTTTTTGTCATACTTTATCTTGTTATCTTTATTATCTTTCTTTTCCTTTTGGCTCCGATTCATGTTAGCCGACACTAATATCTTCTGGCACTAAAGTTTGAATGTTGTTATTATTGGTATAAGTACTCTATCAGTAATGTTATTCTGGTAAATAATGTCATTTCTATGACACTGGTTTTTTCCAGATGGCAATATTACTCTTGATTGCCTTGTGTTATGGTTTCTTTTCATTTTATCTTGTCTTATCTTTTTACCTTTTTAACTCTGATTTCATATGTCTATTCATGTTAGTCGATCTCAAAATATCATTATAATTTATGTTAAGATGGAAAAATGATTCGTATTTTGTGTTTCTACAAGGATGCCATTATGATGACACTCCAATTGTAAGATGTCATTTTTCTCGGTCTTTCTAAGAGCGATAGGTAGTAATCATGGCGATGCCACATTACGCGCTTTTCAGGCCGACGAGGCACAACGAAGCTGGTTGAGGGTGTGATGATGGCGAATGATGCGGTGGCAGCGACAATGCCGCCGCCGCCAGATGAAGCAGCTAGCAGATGCAGCACCAGAGAGGGTGGCGGTCAC